TGAACAATAGTTGTAGAGGTACAATATTTTCCTCGTAGATTTTTAAGACTAATTATGCAAGGACACCTTGGGCAAAAATTGTAGATGTTTTAATAAAAAATTTGGATGCAAAATCGTTAATTTTAAAGAAATGCTATTCAATGATCTTCTGAAAAAAATCCAACCAAAAGGTGGATTTGTAAAAAATGTCTTTCAAGAACCTTCTGACCAAAATTGTTTTAAGAAATAAATCAGGTAAGAACTTTCTAACCATAGTTCAATAGTCGTGGATTTTTTGTGAATGTTTTCTTTTAAAAAGTTGAATTTCTAGCATCTTTTTAGGATTATCATGACCACTAATTTGAATTTTTGAATTTTTAGAAAATTTTATTTAAGGACATTAGGACCAACAATCGTAGAATTTTAATAAAATTATATTTAAGGACATCCGCTTCTATTGTAGTGTTTTCAAAGTCATCCTAAACCGATAACTTTTGTTTTTATTTAAGGACATTTTGTTTAAAGACATCTTAACAAACATTCGTGACATTTTAAGAAAAACATCCCTGCCGATAATCGTGGATTTTTAAAAACATGTTAAGTTTAAGGACAGACTTCTTGACCAATAATCCGAATGTTTAAGGATATTTTAATTAAGACCATTAATCATGCACATTTGAGTTTAAGGATATCTCGATCAACAATTGTAGATAAAAGTCTTGGATTGTTGAAGACTATATTATTCAAGGACATTTCGACCTATAATCGTGGATTTTTCAGACTAATTATTCAAGGGCACTTCGGACGAAATATGTAGATGTTTTAATAAAAACAAGTCAAAAAGCCGATATTCGATTATTTAAAAATATTTTGACGTCTGTTATGATTATTCAAAATGTTGACACTCTATGGAGTAGGTTCCGAAGGAATGGGCCAATATTGACCATTTCCTATCGGTCCTCAATAAATTTGATATAAATATTGTGAAGTGCCAGGTTTGGACTATAGTGCCTGCTTCCTTTATTTTATATAAGATATGTGATAATTTTTAGAAAATGTTAGAATATGCGTGAGGTACCTGATATAGTCGACCGAATTATTCCATTTTTAAACTTCATCTAATACAGATAAAAATATTGGTATGGGCAATATTACAGGTCAATCGAATATTTATATACCATTTATGCGAAATCATAAATTACATATTCCATCGCAGGTCTCTGGTTGAGAGAAATCTTTAGACATAGGAATAAAATTATTAAAAATTGTGACCCTTTGTGGGGGTTTGGCAGACATATATCGTCTTCACAACAGATCTTTTGTTGGCAAACATGTTTGGATGTGTGAAATTTGAAAAGAGTTGGATGCTTATTTCGCATTCTTTAAAATTTTTTTTTTTTAATCTCGAACCCTATGTTGGGGAGGTATCAGAAGGAGTGGTCCGATCTCTACCATCTTTATAACAAATCTTGTTTTGACAGAAATATTGAGATGTACTAAGTTCGAATGGAATCGGATGTTAATTTCGCCTTGTATGAGCTTCACGGATATTCAAAATGTTGATCCTTTGTGGGTGAGGTACCAGAAGGAGAGGGCCGATATATCCCATCTTTACACCAGACCTTATGTTAATAAAAATATTGTGATGTGTGAAATATGAAGCGAATCGGATGCTTATTTCGGATTTCATAATCCTTTTGGTTATTCAAAACTTTGACTTTTTTGTGGAGGAGGTACCAGAAGGAATGGTTCGATCTCTACCATCTGTATAACCACCCCGATGTGGGGGAGGTACCCGAAGTAGTTGACCGATCCCATCCCATTATCACAACAAATCTTGTGCTAGTAGAAAAATGAGATGTGTGAAATATGAAGAGAACCGGATGCTTATTTCGGACTTTATAATCGTTTGGGTTTTTCAAAACTTTGACCCTTTGTAGGGGAAATATTAGGATTTGCAAAGTTCGAGTAAAATCGGATTATCCTATCTCTTTGTTTGGAATTTTTGACCTTTTGTGGAAGGAGTGGACCGATATTGCCCATCTCCGAACTCGATCTGAAACCGATTTGGTACAAAGATACATGGGGTTCTAAATTTCGATAAGGCCCGTTTTGGCCGTTATATAACCTATGAATCTCTTAACCAAAAACTGTGGATATGTTAAAAATATAATTGAATGAATTTTTTTTTTGAAAAAATCTTGCATTTTTTAACATTTTTTAAGGTGACTTTGAGGAAATATTTTTTCATAACATAGGCTCCATTTTGAGAGTTCTACTCTTTAATTTCGAATATGACCTATACTATACTTATACTTGGTTAAGGAAGCATAAATTATATATTTTTTCTTAAGTTTCAATCATATCTTTCAAACGACTGTTCTAAAATTTATAATTTTTACTTTTTTCAAAAAATATCCATTTGTTTGGATATAAAAACATTTCAGTATTATTTAATACTTATCAATTGTAAAATCTTCTTCGATGTTTTTCATGTTAATCCCAAGGCACTGCAGCAATGGCCTGGCCAATGTGGAAGAGCATAAAAATTGTTCCATTGGATAATGGCCTCGATTGCAGCATGCAAATACTTGTTTATGCAAATTTAATAAACATATTTCTTTCATTGAGCCTTAACATGTGCAAGGGGACAAGGACAGTGGGACCTCATCATAAGTGTATCACAATAGTCAGTCATTAATGGGTTCCTTGCTAGTAAGAATATTTTTTAAAGGCCATACAGGATGAGATGAAAACAAAAACAGCAACCAACTTCAGACTGCAGACATTTCTAAGCCACTTGTCCGACAGCTGTTAAAATTATTCCAGTGATAGCTCATTATCGTGTTTACAAGCGTACAAAAGCATTTTGTTGAGAATTTTCCAGAAAAAAAGTTATTCCTGATGGAATTCAAGCGGGATAGTGTGATTTCTTTATATTTGGCTGGACGACCTCAAGTGGCTATCCCTAGAGCACTCCAGCATTTAAATGTGAATAAATCTTTTGGGTCTCGCACCATCTCTCGTTACCGATTACGTGATACTGGTAGCGTAGCCCGACGTCAAGGAAGTGGACGGAAGAAAACAGCAACATTAGCAGAAATATTTCGAAAAATAAAGAAGCGACTTGATCGATACCCACGACGCCTTGGCCGAAAAATGGCTCGTGAGCTGAACATATCGCAATATTCCATTCGGCAAATATTGAAAAATAAGCTCGGGGTAAAACTATTGAAATTCCAAAAAGTGCAAGAACTTACACCGCAAAAGCAAGAAAGTGGACTCAAAAGAGCTAAAGAGTTGCTTCGCTTGGCCGAAAAGGGGTAAACTGCCGAATTTGTTTTTCCCCGTCTCCGATGAGAAAATATTCGTTGCCCAGCAGTTTGTAAACAAACAAAATGATCGGGTTTCTACTTGCCAATGAGGTCAGCTGAAAATGTGCACCTTCGGTTGGCCGGCCACCAACACTCAAGCGCCGGCAATGATGATGGTGTGGGCCACCATAACATCGGATGGTCGCCCTCCGCTCGTATTTATTGACCATGGCATCAGAATAAATGCCGAATATTATAGCGAAAATATTCTGAAGGGCATATTAAAGCCTTGGGCACGCAAAAATTTTGGCCGCAGACCTTGGACATTCCAAGAGGTCTCAGCATCTTCGCACTCAGCACGCGCCACCCAAGAATGGTTACAAAATGAGGTTTCTCGCTTTATTTCCAAAATCTCCGATTACCGGATCCGTTGGGCTATTCGGAAAGCAAGGTTGGCACTAAAAAATACCAAAGTGCGATCACCTCAAGCAAGCGCTTTGCCGGGAATGGCAGTGTGTGACGGTTTCATTGGCCGTTTGAAGGCCATAATTCATGCCAATGGTGACCAATTCGAACAAATCGAAACTTATTCTAAAATTTGATGCTACGTCCGACATTTTTTGCTTTCATTCAATAAAATTCGAAAAAAATGTAACAAATTAAAAAGTCCGAACTTTGAATATCCTCCACCATTTGGAACGAAATTAGAAATTTTCACAAAAAATAAAATCCTTAAAAAATTCTGGCAGAATTTAAAAAAAAACCGAATTTTGTCGTTATATTGGAGTCTATACGACGTGGATCTAGCATAGGTATGGCTTGTCATAAGTCATTACCATATTCAAATTCGAAACTTGAAATAAATGGTGAATAATGTAGCTAAAATCATCGAGATATCGTTTATAGAGAGGTACTGTTATAGCGGAACTCTTCGAAGACCTGGACCAACATAGGTAATAGTCTGTCATAGGTTGTAGCATCCATTACGAACTTCGTATACGACATCTCAAACAATTTCGGTGGGTATTGCACCTAAACTCGTCAAAATACCGAATATAGTTAGCTACTGGTATATAGGGCCTATACGAAGACCTGGACCTGCATAGACAATATTCTCTCCTAGGCTGTAGTATCCATTACGAACTTCAAATGCCAAATTTGAAACAATTCTGGTGAATAATGTCGCTAATGTGATCAAAATACCGAATAAAGGGAGGTACTGATATATGGGGCCTATACAAAGACCTGGACCTGCATAGACAATTTTCTCTCACAGGTTGTAGCATCCATTACGAACTTCAAATACAACATCTCAAACAATTTCGCTGAGTATTGCACCTAAAATCGTCAAAATACCGAATATGGGGAGGTACTGATATATGTGGCCTATACGAAGACCTGAACCTGCATAGACAATATTCTGTCATAGTATCCATTACGAACTTCAAATGCCAGATTTGAAACAATTCCGGTGAATAATGACGCTAAAATCATCAAAATGCCGTATATTGGAAGGTACGGTAGGGAGGTAGCTATACGAAAATGTGGATGAAAATTCGAAAATTTTTGGAGTAGTCTTATTTCGAGGTTTCACTGTAAGCTTTGTTTTTATTGTTTAAAAATTAAGCCATGCTGTAAAAAACAGCAAAATATTTTTTTCCGATTTTTCCATCTTTCATGTTTTTTCATTTTCTTTCTCTTTTGCAGGATAAACGAAAACAACTGCAAATAAACTGCAAAAAATAAACCAGAAACAGAACCACAACTACTATAAACTACCTTACATAGAAAGCTCCCCCCATCCCCAAAGCCAATAACACTTAAAAATGCAACCTCCGGAAAATCAAGCTGTTCAATTAATTGCTCAATATCAGATTTTAAATTTTTATGAAATTTTACGAAGTCGCATCTGATGTCGTTTGAAACGACCCCAAGGAAAAGGCAAAAAAAAAGCTACGAGAAAGGATTATTATAAGTGACCAGGACAACGATACGCTCTCCCTCTCTCTCTCTCTCTAATTTGTTCGATTTTGGTTTGCTGGAAAACGGAAGGGAGTTGGTTGTAAATTTGCATTAACAACAATTAAGTAAAGTCGACTAAAAACAACAACAACCACAACATTTATAGAAGCAACAACAAAAAGTCATTAGAGAAACAAAAAACCACTCCTGCAATAATTGAGGAAGGATTACTGCAGTGGCCCACACGATTTCGAAAGAACAACTGCCCAAACCAGGAAACCAGCAAAACTAACCAAACACACACACACACAACAACACAGTGACACATACATACCCACACACAATTACACTGACACCCCAATTAATCCAAAACAACCAGCCAGCCAAGCTACCCCACCCCCCAAAACAACAGTCTGGCCAAGGACAAGGATTACAGCCCCAATCAAGCTTCATTCACCAATACCACCACCCTCCCCGGCACCACCACCACCACCATGGCCATCAATATTTTGGATTACGACCACTATGCCATCAGTGCCATTGTCACCGTCAGCATGCAGATCTTCTTCTTCCTCATCAATTCGATACTGCAGCTGGACAAATTAACAGATTTTGCCGGTGGTGTTAATTTCATCATCATTTCGTTGTTAACGTTTTTCCTCGGCCAAATAGATCGTCCGTCAAAGGTAAGCTGATAGATAATTTAATTGCTTTCAATTAAAAACAACAAAAAAAAAATACAAAAACTTCAACAACAACGATAAATTCTCAATTGAGTTGCTAAACGATCCGGTAACACGATACACCATTTGAGATAGAAAATAACACACATTAGGTATGGCGATAATGATGGTAATAATGATGATGATGAGGACGATAATGATGAGGAGGACGATGATGACGAGGTTGTTTCTGTTGATGATTATGACAGACAATAACACTTGGGGGTATCATGATTTTGTAACACAAAGAATATCAATGGTCTGAAGAGGTTTGAATGAAAACTAATCGCGGGACCTGGGGGCAGACACGTTGATAAGATTACACTGCGGAACAAAATACACTTTGGAGAGGCAAAAAAATTCATTATGAAAGAGATGAAACTTAATAGCTGAAGAAAATAGTTTTTGAAAGCTGAGTTGTTATGTAACGTGAACAGGATGGAATATATCCTCCCTTTTTGTACTCTCCTCCAAAAAATGAAGAACTTTTATATTGACACATTAACAAAGTCCAAAGAGCCTCATCCCTACTACTAACGGGTGCCTTCAGGAGCACGCCTCAAGTAGCACTGGATACTCTACTGGACTTAATTCCGCTGAGCATACATGTGGAGGAACAGGCATTCAGGAGTGCTCTTCGACTCAGAGAACTAAACGCAGTCAACCCTTTAGACTTTCTGCGATTCTAAGACGTGTAAGGAATGTGGGAGAGATAGCCAATGCAAGTGACTATATTTCACCACGGTTAAGCTTCTACCCACCTGACATACACATACCTGACAGAGACGCCTGGGCCCATAACAACCCACCTTTTTGCGGCATAGCTGTTTATACCGACGGTTCAAAGATGGGTGTGGTACGGGAGCTGTTTAATGTTCGTGAATCCTTCAAGCTTGGAAACAACTGTAGCGTATTTCAGGCGGAAATCTTTGCGGTCAAAAAGGTCACAGACCTGCTGGTCACGAGGAGCATTGGGGTCAACGGTCCGGTGACTATATATGCCGATAGTCAAGCGGCACTGAAGGCCTTAAATTCCTTTACTATCAAGTCTAGGGCTGTTTTGAACTGCAGGAAAGCTTTGCAAAACACTGGGTTGTCCATCAAGCTCTGTTGGGTTCCTGGCCATTATGACATCCCAAGTAACGAGACTGCAGACGAATTGGCCAGGCTAGGATCCGAATCATTTACGATTGAAGTAGACAACTCGGTTAAACCACCACAGTGCCATTTCCTACCGGTCATTCACAGACATTACTCTGATAGAATCCAACAAAAATGGCTGGACGAAATGGGATGCACCATCTCCAAAAGAATCTGGCCCACACTCTCAGAGAAGAGAACAAGGTCGCTGATGTCATTGTCAAAACCCGATCTAAAACTTGTGGTGGGTATCATCACAGGTCATTGTAAGGTGAGGGCTATGACCTCGAAATGGGACAGCGACGACATTGACTACTGTACACAGACACAGACAAGTGGGAGAACTAGTGTCACATGATCTGTCTTCCTTTTCTAACACTGACCCTATAATAATCCTTCAATTAGCCAGAAGATTCAAGTGACAAAAGACGACACGGCAAATTCCTCAGCCGTAGGTCACACTCTATAACTCTATTTCTTATTTTCACCTCTTCTACCAACCACTTTTCCTCTTTTCTTAACATTCTTCTAGGATGAACACAATGGACCTATAGGTCTCCGAGTGGAGCGGTTGCCATATGGTAACCGCGCGTCCTTTAACCTAACCTAACCTTTATATTGTAATTTCTGTCATTTGTCATTGTCATTTGAGACCTCGTCTATTCTATATATATAACAAGTAAAAAAACATTAAATTCGGCCGGACCGAACTTTGAATACCCTCCACCATTTGGAAAGAATTAGGCAATTTTCAAAAAAAAAAATAAATAAATAAAAAAATCTGATAAAATCTTAAAAATCTGATAAAATCTTAAAAATACCGAATGTAGCCATTATATTAGAGTCAATACGACGACGTGGACCTGCATAGGGAACTTTTGAAAAAAAAAAAAAAAATTAAAAAAATCGGTGAATAACGTAGCAAAACTCATCAAAACACCGAAAATAATTGGGTACCATTTATGTGGGCTATACCAAAACGTGGACCCTCACAGACAATTTTGTGTAATAGGCTGTAGTATCCATTACGAACTTCAAATACCAAATTTGAAACAATTTCAGTGAATGATGTCCCAAAATCATCAAAACATAGAATATCGGGGGGTACTGTTATATGAGAGCTATACAAAGACGTGGGCCTGCATAAACAAGTTTCTGTCATAGGCTGTACTATCCATTACGAACTTCAAATAACAAATTTGAAACAGGTCCCTGTTCTCCGGAATTGTTTCAAATTTGGTATTTAACGCTAAAATCATCAAAATATCGAATATGGGGGCTATACGCAGTCCATTGCGAACTCAAATACGAAATTTCAAACATTTTCGGTGAATAATGTCGCTTAAATTACCAAAATTCCGAAAATAGGGAGGACCTACATGACCCATTATCAATACCAAAAATCCTGCAGACATAATATACATTTGAGTAAAATTTCATCGACCTACTTTAATTCGTTCGGAAGCTAAAGTGTTTTCCACAGACGAACGGACACGGCTAAATCGACATAAAATTTTCTGCTGATCAAGAATATAGGTACTTTGTAGGCTCTAAAATGTATGTTTCGAGGTGTTACAAACGGAATGACATACTACTATGGTGGAGGGTGAAAAAGTAGTGAAATAACCGACTGACCTAGAATCAACGTGCAGACGAAAGGGCCGAACATAGAATTTGAAATTTTTCCCTAGGGCTAGTCTTGATGCGTTGGCGTTTGATAAGCCAGGATTTTTAACAATTCGTACTAAAAGGGAACGTAAAGTAGTAACATATACCAAAAATGTACTACTTTGTATTGGACAAACGGAATGAGCTGGAATTCTGAAATTTGGAATAAGAGTCACTGATGGAGTGCAGGATAGATTTTCGGAAATTCGAACTTTATGGTTACGAAAAGTTCAAAAATGCTACTACAATTTAATATTGTATCATTTGGAAAGGAAAAAGTAGGAGAATTTAGGTTGGAAAGTAAGTTTGATATAAGAAAATGGTCTTCGGAAATCTATACTAACTTTGCGAACTTATCTAAATGGTACTAAATTTGGAAAAGTTTGCTTTAGAGTGAACGGATGTAGTTAGAATTTTGAAAATTTGTATTGGAGTCCCTTTTGCTAATAGGTTTGTGATAAAGAGGTTTTTTTTTCAGAAATGTGTACTATAAGGGCACGAAAAGTATTAAAAAGTACTATATTTGGTATATCTTGGTATTAGGTAAACAGATAGTACTTGAAATCTGAAATTTCGTATTAGGATCGCTGTTCATGTGCAGTCTGGAGAAATGGAGGTGGTTTCGGAAATATGTACTATAATGGGTGAAGACATACATATAAAATCCTTGAATCGAAAAGTACTAAATGGTACGAAATTTGGTAAAGGGTGAAGGAATATGGCAAGAATCCTCAGATTTGATATTGAGCTCTCTGCTGGTATCTTGAATTGAGATACAAGTATAAAAATTAGAATTGAGATGAATGTATTGAAAATTGTGACCCTTTGTGAATGAGGTACGAGAAGGGCTTTCGAATATATATCATCTTCACAACAGATCTTGTCTTAGCAAAAATGCTTGTGTGTGTGAAATTTGAAGAGAATTAGGTGCTCGAATCACACTCTTTGAGCGTTTTGTTTTTCAAAATATTGAACCCTATGTTAGAGAGGCACCAAAAAAAGGTCCGATCTCTACCATCTTTATCGCATATCTTATGTTGATAGAAATATTGAGATGTACCAAGTCTGAATGAAATCGGATGCTAATTTCGCGGATATTCGGATATTCAACATTTTGACCCTTTGTGGGGGAGGTACCATAAGGAGAGGTCCGATTTATCCCATCTTCACAACAGATTTTGTGTAAGTAGATATAATGGAATGTGTGAAATATGAAGAGCACCGGATGCTTATTATGATCGTTTTGGTTATTCGAAACTTTGATCCTTTGTTTGGGAGGTACCAGAAGGAATGGTCCGATCTCTACCATCTTTATAATAGATCTTGTGTTGATAGCAATATTAAAATGTGCAAAGTCTGGAATCGGATGTTAATTTCGCTTTTTATGAACTTAATTTATATTCAAAATTACACCTTTTGTGGGGGGGGGTACCGGGAGGAGTGGACCGATATATTCCATTCCATTAATACCACATCTTCGGTCTATAAAAATATTGGGTTGTGTGAAATTTTAAGACAATCGGATTCTTACGCCACATTTTATAAAAGCTATAATCATTAAAAATGTTTACCCTTTGTGGGGGAGGCACTTGATGGAGTGGACCGATATTATCCATTTTTGCACCTGACCTAGAAATAACGTAAATATTAGGATTTGCAAAGTTGGAGCAAAATCGGATTATTGCTTCTCTTTCTGTGCAGAAAATATTTTGTTTTGTTTCGTTTTTGAAATTTCGACTTTTTTTGGGGGAGGCACCAGAAGGAGTGGACCGATGTATTCTACCTTGGCACCACACCTTGGGTTGATACAATTATTGGGATGTGTGAAATTTTAAGACAATCGGATTCTTACGCCACATTTTATAAAAGTTATAATTATTCAAAATTTTGACCCTTTGTGAGGGAGGTACTTGATATAGTGGTCCGATATTATCCATTTTTGCACCTGACCTAGAACTGACGCAAATATTAGGATTTGCAAAGTTGGAACAATATCGGATTATCGTTTCTCTTTCTGTGCAGAAAATATATTTTTTTTTTGAAAATTTTGACCTTTTGTGGGGGAGTTACCAGAAGGAGTACACCGATATTGCCCATCTCCGAACTCAATCTAATTTTCATAATATGTTACGATGTACTAAGTTTGGACAGAATCG